GTACCGTTGAAACCAGTGCTTACCATAAGGATCGATGCATATGTTTTGTTGCTCTACACGATTCTTCTCGTTATACACCTCTGGTTGAGTTCCTTAACAGTCTTAGCAACTAAGTGGTTAACAAAATTACAATAATTCAGTCGTGCGGTTCAACATCACAGAACACGAGTATGTAAATTAAAAGAAGGGAAACGCAACAATGAGAAGTAAAACACATAACTCACTAACGATTTTCACGCCAATCACCTAATTCCCATTCCCAATATCCTTGAGGCTGTAAAAAATACATCTTCTTAGCCAACCCAAACAACGTATGCAAATGACCGCATAAATAAGCAAATGCACTATCTCTGCAATAAAGAAAATATGCATAGCATTTATAAGAAACTGTGTTCTGAATCATAATTCAGACATACAAATTGAATTTAATTAAAACATAGTTTGAGTATTTCTTATTGCCGATATCCAACACTGTTGTTAACAACTGATGGATAAGAAAAACAATTAGCCATTAATCTGAAATTTAATAATAATAAAATATATATAGTTGCCTTATCTACTACATGTATCTCCATTCCAATGAACACGCGCTGGATATCTTGAACATAAAAAGCGCGAAATGAGAAAGAATCATGCAAGAGATCATAAGTCTGTATATTGCTATAATTCAGAATATTGGAGATTAGACTGTTTTTATTTGTTTCTAATGAAAATATAACTAGAAATGATTTTGAAGTAAATCATTCACAGTACTTCAATATTTAAATTTATTACAGAAAGAGCTCAACACGTAAACCCTGGAAAGCTACAATTTATTTTAGTCACTAATTACGGATCCTGAGCGTGAGTACAAAACGTCAGTACAAACAATATTACTATTAATCAAACTGATCGAAATTTAGTTCTGAATATCAACAACAGGATAACACAAACTCATAACGAATAAACACCATACACAATGAACAAGTTAGTGGCTATTTCGAATCAGCAGATTAATAGAGAATGAGCTAGTCCTGCAAGAGATAGTTACAGGGTTAGAATCACTGTGTGAACATTTGGAAAGGAATTAAACTAGTTAAATGGCTAATTAAGAATAACAGAATTTTTCGCAACAAACACTTAACAGTATACCTTTCTTCGACAAGCTCTTTAAGTTTCACGTTTTCCAACGAACCAAACACTTTTACGCCTAAATATTTTTAAAGTGTACAGTGAATTACTGAAAATAATGGGCTGTGAAATACTGACCTAAGTGTTTATGGTCAGGAAGATAGTAGTCCTGTAATTAAGTAATTCAAATACAAAAGAACTGATAATTAATAAAATAGATTATTATCTTGTTGTGTTAACGAGGTATGGCAACTTGGACCGATGCATATATGTGCCTGGTCCTACGTTGTAGCTGACTGACTGACTGACTGACTGACTGAGATTATTATGCTTACAACTGAAATTGTTGTGGAACTTTACTCGAAGTGGATCTAGTAACAACAATCATTCCGGTGCAACAAAAAGTAATCATATTAACCTATAAGTTGGCTCATGAATAGCTTTTGAAGTCTAGCTACTTGAGAAGGACAATGAGAAAGGACGTGTTTATTGCCAAGAAAACCTATGCGAAAGTGAGAAAACTATGTATTCTGTGGTGAATTCTTTAATCGAATGAAATCTAAAAATTGTAAATACCAATTATTTTTGGTACAGTTAAATATCAAAAACTTAAAGTCCAATGATATAAAACCTACCCAATCACTGTACCCAGATTCGAATCACTCGAAACAACCGTGGAAGTTGGATAATGTCCAAATACAAATGTCTGATTACTATCTTTAGCTTCATCAATCGACTTTAACAACTGTCTTTTAACATTCTGTAATATTAGGTTAAATGTTGATAGAACAAAATAAAATAAAATATGAACAGTTTACAATAAATCAAAAATATTACAAATATGTTTGCTATAACTAGTGGATCAGTTATATACAACGTAGAATCCAGAGTATCATTCACAGTACCTCACATAAGCACGATATATATCTAGCATATTATGTATTTATTTATTTGAAGACATATATATTGGTACAAGAATGCGCCAAACATATATGCGCCACACAATTTCAGTTCATTAATTGCGTGTGGGCTGCGTTACTGCCCGGGTGCCCAGATCGAAACAGGTGGTTATCTTAGGAGGCCACACCCCGAGCCTTTGACCTAAAGGTCTAACCCACAAGGCAGTGGAGCATCGTAAGGAGATGCAGTCCCATGGTAGCCGGTGACCGAAAATTGGTTCATACGCCATTTGTTCCCGCAGGATACTGGTGCCCATGTGCACCATTGGTTTGGAATCCGGTTAAAGCGCTGGACATTCGCTTTTCGTCCTCTCATTTTCGTAAACAACACCCCCGCCACGAGAAGGCAGTGAGTAGGACTTCCCTGGCAGAGGCTGTATACGCGCGGCCGTGTGAGAGTAGGGGTAGGGCGAACCCACCCCGCTCTCGGCCATACCAGGGCGTTTGGAGGCATATTATGTACTGGATACGATAAACTGAGTTACCTGTAAAAAAACTACTGACCACTAACATTAGTGCCACACCTTGCCTTTGAATGTTGTACAGTGCGAACTACGCGTCACATATCTCGAGAGAGGACATCACGTGAAAATTAAAGAGCTAAGGTACTGAAGTTTGGAACGACACCACGAAAAAGTTCTTTCTATTTGGAAACACTACAACTGGCAATTAGTTTTATTCAATGGGTAATCTATAGAAAGAACCAGCAAACAACAAACAAACGGTATGCTAAACTTTCAGACCGGGAATCACTGTTAGCAATCTACACAAGCAACACGAAATGTGACACATAAAGATTATAAACATCATACTTAGCCCATGTCCTAGATTCTATACAGCCTTTACAGTCCGAAAATCCAAATAACCAATCAAACTACTACTAAATCCATAAAAGCGTGAGATGCATGGGAAAAAATACAAACACTCTGTAACAATTACACATGAAGTCATAAAATATGGAGATTTATGGGGAGGTTAAGGGTTCGTGCGCGAGACCGAAGGTGATGCGCTCGAGTCCCGCGTGCGGGATTGTGGTTGAGCACTGCTGAGTCCCATACTAGGAAGAAACGGCCGTCCAGTGTTTCCAGGTTTCCAATGACGGTATAGCTTAGATTGACTCGTCAATTCAACTGTTGAAATCATGCATTCGAACGCCTTCAACTAATCAGGAAGTTCTTTAAAATGGACTGGTGTGATTCACAAATACAAAACTCGGCAGTTAATGTATTGGTGAACACCTTTCAACCTATTGACAGTGGCCTCAGCATGGTCATTAGAAGTAGAGGATATTAGCAGGTTACTGATATTCAATCATCGGTGCCTACCAGGCATTGCTCGTGTATTTCGGGATCACGGAGTAAGCAATGCTTGGGTTAGAAATAGAGTACCAGGTAAAGATGGGAAATCTATCAACGGAATAGTAAGTCTTCATCAACTGGGGTGATTAAGACGTGTTACATATGTCGACCACCACCTACCTCACTTAAGTCACTTCGAGCTTTGCTTATGATTACTACGGAAAACAAGAGCGCCGACAAACACTTAGAATCGTCACGATTCGACCAGGTTTGACATGATTATAGTACGGTCTCATATAAAACGCACTCTAGTGAGTTAGTCAGTCTATTTCATGCTACAATACAAGTTGCCAAATATCACAAATGTATAAACTGAATAGTAATGATGTCCAGTAACAGACACAACTTACCAAGTTAAAACTACCGAAGAAATTAAAAGGCCATTTCAATCCAGGTTCAGTGGATAAATCAATACTTATGAAAGAATATTGACCATATGGTTTTACGAGTTTGAATATGCGTGACTTTAATGAAGATCCGCCCCTTACACCAAATCGACTGGAATGACAACGAAAAACACAAGACGTTTTACTTATTACGTTGAATCATGTCGATAAGTTTACTACTATTCTTATTTTACACAAGGTGCATCAAAAAATGCAAATACTCTAATAAGATAATCAAAGTATTTCAAGACTGCTATAGCATAACACTCGAATAGCAGAGTCTGATGCAAAGGATTCGCCTGGTTGGTAACTTCAATTCATTCCGACAAAAGAAACCAGATAACGGGTAGTACAGAAAGCTTTTCAAGACTATCAGACGAATTACAGTGATTCCGAAGTCAATAGTAGTGAGACATAAATCACTACGTTATCCGAACTTGTCTAAATAAGGAAGCTTAACACCACCGATCATTGAATCAAATGAGGAAATCACTAAGTTAGTATGGCTATTTCGATTACAAATTGACAAAAGATGAACAAACTGTTATACCACCAATTAGTAACGAGTCTGTGATTTACCTGTAATAATCACCATAACCACCAAATGATGGGACGTCAAAACTATCTAAATGAATATCAAAGTGATGATTAAATCTAACCATGATTCCCCCGTACGTCAAGCCACTTAGTTAAATTTAGTACTCCAGATTGTTTCAGAAGTGACGAATAATCCTCCCATTCCTCCAGATTTTGTAAAGATAACGAGAACGTCTTACCCTTGCCATCAGTAATATCACCTTATGCAAATAAATTGTAGTGAAACAATATACCTGATGCGATTACGACTTCAGGTCGAATCACAGGAATGTGTGTAGAACAAAACCCCAAGAAGTCCATCTGTCTGTCTTTAGAACCAAACTCGCTAAAATGCAAATCTGTGATCTTAAAATTTCATACAAGTAGTAAGTTTATCTTACATGTACGAACCAGAAAACATTATGAGCACCACCATCGACGACCATATCATTGTGAAGAAAAGATCTAACTTCAAAGGCGACTGAACCGCTTAAAGACAGCGAATTGATGAAAACGTAAGACCAGAATGATACTAATATGGAGAAAAAGATGGAAGACCTTCCCAATAACATTCTGGTAACGCCTCAGTAGTACTGTTAAAACGCTTCAGGGGGCAAGGTAAAAACGGTAATCCCTTTCAAATCTGTCCGCCGTTTCGTTTCAACGACCTTGAACGCGCTGACTGGAAGCGGGCATTCCGTATTTCAATTGCCGTGTGTGTGTTGGGTCCTATGAGTATTAAATGTTTCCATATATAAGTCATCTTTTGATGCATAATAAACACTAAATAACTGCTAAGAGCATTAACTGAGTATTTTATGTTTCGTAGTGCACACTTTAGCTCTGTTGTTCCTTCGAAACTTGATCTGTGGTCCTAAGTGCTGTATTAAAAGTCAACAGCTATATATAATTTGTTGATAAGGTCCAGAAAACAACGTAAGAAAGATAAAATAACGTAAAAGGTTATAGATGCGCCTAGTTTTTGTGAGTTAAGACGAAATGTCAACTGAAGGGTAAGTCCTAAATATTTGTTGTTCTTCCTTCAGTTAATTTTTTTCAAGGAATAACCTTTTTTTAATAACTATTGTATGTTGTCTCTAGTGCTTCATGCTCAAGTGAAATTTCAGTGAACGTAAGCGACGCGTTCCAACGTATTATGCTGAACAAGAGATTCGGAAGCTGGATTGAATTAGATAATGCGCTAAAGGATTTCCATAAAGTATGATAGGATAAATCCATGTTTTCTCAGATGACCCATACACACTATGTTCACGCAGAAAGTAGATTGTTGAAGGATGTGAGATATAAATACTTGTTCGTAGTGTTTCGTTGCACGTATGGTCGTAAACGTAAATCAGAAGGTCTGAATGTGAATAAAAAACCGTGAGGACTCTAACTAATGTGTTACATTTAAGGTCTAAATTTTTAAGTTGCCAATCGATGTTTCGCGTAAGATTGGAGGGTCAACAATACGTTATAAAATCTTACAACATGTCTCACAACCATCGGTGTACTAGTTCGTGGATGGTTTGTGATCCGTTGAGTAAACGATTGTCATCAGAAGAAAAAGAAAACTTGAAACCAGTTATATTGCACTGTCAGTCGACGGACGAAGTTATCGAAAGTATTAAGGAAAGAACAGGTAAGCAGGTGACCGCTGCTGATGTGAAAAATATGAAAGCTGAACTCTCCACTGGTAAGTGTATATAAATATATTTCAGGTTGGACTCGGAAGCAGGTATTGCAGATGATGCGACAAAACGGTGAAGTTAGAGAGCATGCAGAAAATGGATGTATTACGGCGATATGCTTCAGCAGTTATGATCAGATACGGCTGTACAGTCAATATCCCGAAGTCGTGTGTATTGATTCTACTTATAAAACTAATAATAAAAAGTGAATATGATTTTCGTTTTGTTCTACTATGTAGATATTCATTATTCCAGTTAGTGGTGACAGACAATTGGGGTCGAGGTCGAACTGTTATGTTTGCATGGACACAAAAAGAAAAGCGTGCCGATGTTACGTGGATTTTGGATAAATTCAAGGAGATAATGGGTAACACGACCAAAACAGAAACATTTGTGATGGATTGCGCACGATCTGAAAGCGCGGCTGTCCGTATAACGCACGGGCATGCAAACATTATTTTGTGCGCCTTTCATTACGAAGTGGATGTAAGTATTTGTGAATGCAATTGTAGCACGTTTAATATGTGTCGATATCCGTGCCGCCATCTCCTGCTGGCATATATTAAAAGACGAAATCTAACAGGTAAGCTATTTAAATTATAAAATATAAACTACATAGCTCATCAACTTCTTAGGTGTTGCTGCAGATGGAAATTAGACAATACGCACAATTTACAAAACAACACAGGAATTTCATTACCGAGACGGGGTAAAGAATATATACAACTTCAACGGCTCCAAAGAATGTGCAAACAACAAATTGTTGAGAAATATGGTGAACGCTTCGCGAATCAGGTGGAGAGAAAAGTCTACAATTTTTACTTAAGAATTATAAACAGCTAGACAGCAGGTTTACGATTAACAGTTCTTTGTGGCTATTTATACAACTTGTAAACTTATCTTTCCACTTTAGTAGTCATGAAAAATCACTAAACTTTTTCTCATTTTTTATTTTCGTCTTCTTCATACTTTCATGGGAGGGTTTACCAATCGCTTTAACGAATAATTGTGTGTGAAAATTAAGAATTTGTACTACTGTATTAGTTACGAACTGTCGTTAGAACTTAGCGTTATATCGTTGTTCATTGTGAGGAATCAACGAGTCAAATAAAACAATAATGCGACTTCTACGTAAAACCTTACAGATTAAACAACCGCCTTACATATTTTCCGTTGTCAGATTACGTCCATTATCAAGTTAGTATTAGTATGGAACTAGACAATTTCATGCAGCTAGTTCATTGATAAGATGGATTACGTAATCCTTAGACCACCCTTCCACTCACACTTCTTTGCTAAATTATGTTAACTCTTCAGATTGTCTTCACTTATCTTATTAGTTCTTAATTCACTGATTTATTCATTACATCTAGAATTATCACACAATTTATCTTATATGCTTCTGAGCTTCACTCGACTATTACACCACCCATCCTTTATGTTTCCTTAAGTCTAACACCAAATGACCTTTGACCTGTTCAAGCATATACATATGTATAGTTATTATTGATAACCTAGGTCATCCCAATTCTTTGCTTTCTATTATCTTTCATACTATTTCTTCCCTCAATCTTAAATTATAATGCATATTCAGTTGCATGCAACTTATGAGAAACCACGAAATGTAATGCTGTCACATGATCCTGCGTCAATATTTGTTTTGGCTTTATTTAGACCATAATTATACAAACTTACAGGATTTATAATATAAAACACTGCGTATGGTTGTTATATTTATATTTAAATAATTCATTAGATGAATGAGCATAGCAGTAGGTAATATAAAACAGTTATCGTAAACTTGTAAACCGGTTTTCCACACGATCTTCCGTAATCCTAAATTCCATAAGCTTCATACTATTCTGAAAAACAACAAATCCGTTTTGAGACAAACAATTAAACTTTGTTCTCAGTATCATATTCAATAAGTTATTCAAATAGCAAGTAACAGACTGTGCCTATAAGTCTTTTATTAACAAGTAGTGACATTCATTCATAACTTCCTAAGTAACACAACAACTGTATTACCGAGACGGAGTGAAGAGTATATAATAACTCATTTGTGAACCCTATAACAGACACCTCACAAATCAGTATTAACTAAAAAACATGGTTGTGTCACCATTCTCACAAGAAACACCGATCGTTTTATTCATGAAGATTTTGTTCCTACTTGATGTGGTGTTATACACTATTACTGCAGACGTTCAGAAAGCCGCTGGACAACACTATAAACGTCAATTGTTACTCACATATTTCTTTTCTCAGATACGTTACATAATTATGTCACTTCAGTACAAAACAATGGTACCTCTAATAAATATAACTTTTTATGGCTAAATACAAGCAAGTTATATAATATTCACAATTAGGTTAACGCTTGATTGCTTCTACTTACATTTTATAAACAACTACCGACATCCATGTTCACCGTCACCGCAATCAAGGAGGTGAACCATATGTAAAAGGTTTTACGGTTCATTTTCATGAAAACTCAATCTGTGATGTATTTTTTGACTAGAAACACGGTGAACTTTACTTGCTTGAGTTTGTATTGTTACAAATAACTATATTAAGCTAACTTCAGATTTACTTACGTGGTGAGCAAGAAATACGTCAAACTGCCAATAAATTGGAATAAAAACTATGTTACAAGCACTAGCAATACAGAAATTGATGTTTCATGCAAAAAAGCCTGTTAATAGCTGATAAATAACGACACAAAAAATCCACGACAATATGTAACGTGTGCGCGAAAATCCGTGGCTTACCCGCCAGTCCGTGCCCTTCAGGGCTATCGTTCACTTTGAAAGTTGCGAGCACTTGAAGGTCAAACTGTCGCAAAATGATTGGTGCGTCATATCGACAATTAGTAAGGATGTACGGAAACGGTAAAATCAAGACATTTTTCGATTTGACTTGAGTTTAGCCACACTACGTCTGATAACATCCATCCCTCAAGTAACGAAAGTGATGTCATAGTAATAATGCATAATACAGGACGAATCTTCTATGACATTATGTTATCGCGACGACTTACTAGTTGGGAAAACCATGAAACCCGTTTGAATGAAGTACATAAGTTCCAGTTTCAGTTTTTGGTTTGAGAAGGACAGGAGGCCTGATGGCCTGTGTCAGTCCTGGCAATGGTGATCCAATGTTGATCCAACTTTCTTTTGAAAGAGTCGACGAATGCAGCCTCAACCACGTGCTGAGGTAATTAGTTCCACTCGTTGATGATTCGATGGGAAAGTCGATAGTCAGCTGATAAGTAATTTGTTCTTGGCTTGTGATGCACGCAGTTTCTATGTATTCGGCAGCGACCAAAATATCCGCGGTACAGTCTACGCACAGTCATGCCGACGTAATATTGTGTTTATCACATGTCTTAGGAACATTTTTCGGGAGGGTAAATGTTAACTGTGTAAATTATTTGCTGTAGTTCAAAAATCTCCATGTTCGCGAATGCTTGTAACACCTTATAAAAACCAGGCGATCTGACATGTGAGCTCCGCTTTTAATAATACATTTTATTCAGGTTTACGCAGAAGTACGAGCACCTGAGAACTCATTTTTCAAGGGCCTATGATAACATAAAAAATCACTGGGTTGCTCGGAAGTCAGTGTGAGCTCGCTGTTTCCAATGACATGTACTAAGCCCGAGATCCGATCATAAACAATTAAAAGAATGTCCCAGAAGAGGCGTTTCTCTTCCACTTACGTTCTGGAAAGTCTGAAGTACTATAGACAATGACCCAAGTTTGCGTCATTAGGACGCCGTAAAGGATTGTCGACGTTTTCCAGAGCTTGAGGTAAGGAATGTAGCTATGTGTATCATAAATTTCAAGTGCCAAGGTCACTGTAAACCATAAAAGTGTTGGGAGAATGAGATACGAATTAATAACAAAAGAATACATCCGCTTCTACGACAAGGGCATAATGTATATTGTTAACACTTGTGGGCGTCTCAATGATTATATGCTGCCATGTGGTCATATTTTGTATGCACATTCCAAAGATCTAATTCGTGGAGGTGTGTTTCCTCGTTTCCAGAAGAATCTTATATTTATTTCGACAAAGTAGCCGGTGGGCAAGAAACTACATAATGAGCTTGGTCTTCGGTGAACAACGTGTCAAGCTCCACAGGGAGTAAAGATGTGCTTGAGAAGTTCACTAACAACTACCACTTATTCCATGCTCTTATTAAACCTCTGGCCAGTAAACTAACTTGTTCATTCCATGAGGCATCGGGAGACATGTGTACACAAGTTATGAGTTCAGTCGGTGGTAACTATGAAGCTGCATCGTCTGAATTAATTGTTCTCAGAGTTCATAGCTATGATTTTGGATAACAAGAAGTTTTAATACTGTAATTTTTTCAGCTTTACATAAACTTGTTCTCACAGTGTTACGGCAGGGAGAGTGTACTGTGCAGTCTTGTATGGCTGTGAAACAGAGATTTTGGTGTGTAACGATTACGATTCTGTGGCAAAAGCGAATAATCGTACAGACCGTCTACCAGATGCCGCAACACTGAACTTGGTGTACTATGCTACTGGGTCAATTTCTGTACTGTTGTACTGCCTAGAAATCATATAGCAGTTTATTTTTACCGTCATTAGACTGGTTTCGCTAAGCCTTCGTTTCGGGATATACCAATAAAACTGCGTGTTTGATGTCAGTTACCTGTATTATATGAATAGGCATTGACTCACAATTTTTATCTGTGCTCTATCGTCAAAGATCAGAGGATCTACCTATTCTTCGCTCTTAGTGGTTTGCTATTCGCAAACTAACAACCCTCTCTTCATGTATTCATTGTAAATAATTTCTCTTCGCTTGAAAAATTAGTAGAACTTATACATTTATTGCCCACACTTATGATCATTAAAATGGCTGCTTGTTTATCAAACGATAGGAGTGATCGCAAGTTATTCATGAGATACTCGTGTTATGAATGAATGTGCATTTTCGGGAATAGTTCCATCGCTGACCATCTCAACACCCCTAGTTACGCAAAAGACTAATAGAATACATGTAGAATTTATTACATTGTATTGGTAGTTATTCACAACTACGAATACAAACTTCCTGTTTACTGTGCAAACAATGGCTATCTAATAAACTTTTGTGCAAATATTTTTCTTGTTTTTGGTTGATTAATAGAAAGAACGAACTTGATTGTAGAACCTCACAATGGTGAGACTATTGTTTATGGGTCACCTTTGAGCGACGCTAGAGTGAACTTGAGCGTGTCCCTGTAATTACTAGGACCAAATGAAGATTATAAACCTATAGTACCAAAACGGTATTGTAAACTACAATTAAACTCAATTTGATTTCGTAATCGTGGCAGGCTGCTTAGCGAACAATCAGAATGAAGCGGAAATAATTATATTCACCATCTTTGTAAATAATGGCAGTCGGCTTGTAGTGGCATTGAGCCCTAATCGCTCAATCCTCAAACATGAACACGAGACAAATGGGAAAATAGATATTCAACATTTGACGCAGAGATAAACCTGAATGTAGGGCCAGCGAAATGTCACTAAGCCCTAGCCAAATCATACGGCAGTTGGGTCATTGAATATCAAGCAAATCATCGACCTTCGTCAAGGTCAGGGACAGCCAAAACGCATCAGTTAATCATATGCCATGGACTGGCCAATGTGGCAGTGGTTTTAATTTCGCTTGTATCTACTACAAAT